ATTACTTCTGCAGCAGAATTTATTTAAAGAAAGAATTACAAGAAAAAATTTTACTAATTAGAATATGATTATGTAGGTTGTTTGCAATCCTTTAATTTAACTTCTACAATTACGTTGAAGAGGACCGCTACCTATAAATTTGCGATTTCTGTTTGCTTTTCTATTGATTATAATAATCTCTCTTCACAGAGTACGTTCAACTGATTCCGCTTCCCAGTAGAGCTGACGCTGCGAATAATTTTGTTGGAAGTCAGGCAATTGTAAGTGGTTGGGGATTCATTTATGCTGATAGCAACGATATAAGCGAAGTACTGCGATATGTCAATGTTCCCATTGTACAAAACAATGTGTGTAGAATACAGCTTGGTCCTGCCATTACAAACTCAAACATTTGTTCTGGGGGAGATGACATTAAAGGCACTTGTTTTGGAGATTCTGGTGGACCTCTGGTCGTCAATGGGAAATTGGTAATTACACATCACTTTAGAAATATTAAGTCAATATGTGTATGAATAAGAAGAAAATATGTATATTTCTATAAACAAACGCCACGTTTTGTTTAAAACCATTTATGACGGCCTCATGGAAACTGCGACTGTTGATAACACTGTAAACAGCATTGTCAAATGTGGTTTATTCGAGGTGGGTGACGATGGTCGTGATCAAATCACAACAAGTTCTTCCTAACTAGAAAAATTTATGTCTCAATAATAATTCATTCGTATGAATGCTTGTAAATATTCGAAAATGCTTTAAAATATTGGTGGGCTGTGTAGTGGTCACCCCCGCCCACTCAATAATTTCTACATGTTTACCTCTTAAAAATATTAACCGTCACAGTCTGTAGTTTATCTGGAGATCCATCGGCTATTATGCTTAACAAGGCACTTGGTTATCAGTCAGTGTTATCCATTTGTCCATTTATACTTGCCTTTACGTTACCTATCGAGCCGAAACGAAAGATTTGCTTCATAAAATGCTTTATTCTTTGCCACTCTCGTTATACAGATTCCAATTTATTATATTTTTCTACCTGTGAAGAGTGTTCCGTAATTTCAACAAATATTAAATTGCACCCGTTATGCTAAATCAAATGCAGTAAATAGACTCACCAAAGAATGATAATCTGATAAAATCCACCAAAATACCATTGACGTAGGATAGCAATACTGCTATTTTATGATGTATCTGTTACAGGTTGGTGTAGCTTCATTCATAGGTAATCCTGATTGTCAAGCCGGCGATCCAAGCGCCTTCACAAGAGTAACACCATACTTAAGTTGGATTGCAGCAAACAGTGATGCTGTTATTTCTTAAACATTCCTTAAATAACCGATTTGTGCAATGAAGTAAATATTGCAAATAAACGATTATTGTTATTGAATGGACCTTTCATTGTCAATACATAAGTGTATCGTATGTAATACGTATATAAAGGAATAGCTAATTACTATTATACATATGTACATTTATAGTTACATACTGTACTTCAGACACCAATTTTGTATAATTATTGTATCCGAATATGCACTATGCAACCATGAATTATGTACCACAGTGTTTTTAAATGGAATTATAATACTTTAACGCAGAGCCGGGCAAACTTTAACTTCGTAGGAGCCGCTGCCTGAGGTTAGTTTGAGTCACTCCACTTCAATGAGTACGAGAGAGTAAGCAGTGATGATTCATGTTGCTTTCTCCTTTTCTTCTCCCTTCCACTTCCATATCAAACCCCTTCATCCCGCAGACGAGCGAAGCCTGTCTCGCAACTTAAATAATACCTACGAAAATTTTCGTTAGCAATATTATTGGGTTTGGCTATGGAAGAGGGGACTCACCTACGAAATGGAAGGGAAGAATCATCTCACTCGCACTCGCAGGATTAATGAGGAGCTCCTTGGCTATACCTGAGGAGCACTCGAGAGTCAAAAGAGCCGAGTTAGTCCGGCTCTGCTTTAACGTATGGTGCTACCTGCGAATCGGAGAATAACTAAAAGTATGTTTTGGGGAAGTAGCAATGAAATACAACCTACCTTGTGTTAATTTGTTATTAACTTCAAAACAATCACTAGTAGCTGATTGCCCAACAATTCAAAACCACAAAAAAGTGATTTATAACTAAATATAGCTAACATTTCTACTACTGCTACGTATGATTATCATCAACTTAATTTCGGTTTTAACAAGAATTTTAGTTACGTTTCGTATCAATGCAGATGTATAACATTCAATCACTGGATTTGATATTTGTCATTTTATGACGTATTACCTTTCAGACCACTCACAAAAGGTGTCTTGCTAATGATGCTATAGGGAAGTCTACATCTGATGCATTGTCTACTAGTTCACAACCTTAGACATGCTGACGCTCGATAAATCCTAAGTCAACTCTATTTTGAGTAAGTTTTCGGATATTTTTTATGCAGCCACTAGCAGCGCCCAACGAGTAGTCAAACATTCAACTCCAGGACTTCCCGTATTTTCTCGCCCAAGGAATTTGACATCGGAACGTTTCGCTATAGCCTAACACGAATTTGATATCACGCTTGGGGAGATGTTGCTCGATACTAGTAAGGCTCTTGAGCATCTTCAGTACACCTCACACCCTTACAGGAACTACAGGAATTTGAATGCTAGAACTACTCCTGATCGACGCCCGGTGAGATACACATATGATTTTACTCATAACATTGAAGATTAAATGCCCACCGTATTTGTAATCATAAATTTGACAAAAGCGTACACGCTAGAGATGCACCGGAGTTTTGGCGGGTACCGGGTACCTAACAGGGTATCTGGCATTAGTTCTGTCGTAAGGGATTACAGTTTAAGGAGTCATAAAAGTCAAACTTGTAATGAGAGATGTGGTTTTGTATCTTTCGATTGTTATCAGAAAGTGCCGCGATCCCTCTTTTTATCTAGTACAAGGCTGTCCAACTGGCGGCCCGCGGGCCGTATACGGCCGGCCAAATTATTTTTACGGCCCGCAAGTACATTTTACCATGAATAAATTTATGTTACTAAATGAATATTAAAATTACTTTACTATGTAATGTAAGAGATCTATGATGAAATGAAAGAATGTAATATAGAAGCAGATTTTAAAATATTTCTACCAAAATTAGATATGTTAATTACAGATTTCAATGAAAGATTTTCTCAATTTGATGATCTTAAATCGTCTATTGATTTATTTTATGATCCAATTAATATTGATATCAACTCCGTTGATCTTAAACATCAAATACAATTATGTGACCTCCAGGCTGGCCCATTTTTTACATCTCGTGGCGTAACTGGAATAGATAAAGAGAAATATCTAAAATTAAGAGATTTTGTACTTGAAATTGTATCAATGTTTGGAAGTACATATATCTTCGAGCGTGCATACTCCGATATGAAATATATAAAGTCACAATATAGAAACAGTTTAAAATATTTTACTCTTGAAGATATAATTAGACTTGCCAGAACAAATATTGATGTAGACA